ATTGACCGCCACTATTTTTAGCCTGGTATCCACCACACAGCTGTTTGAAGTGACTTTTTCTGGCCAGTGAATCCCACACACGCACACACACACACAAACCCCCACACACAAGTACGAGTATACTAGCCTTATACGAGTGTTTTTTTCTACAATTTGTATGATCACCACCTCGTTTACTAGCCTTCTTACTTAGTTTTATCACATTCATCAGCAACTCTTATGTGTCTATTGTATCACCACAAGACTACTTAACCTTTGTATGTTCACCGCTCACCCTTACTTTGTATGTTCACCGCTTACCCTTACTTTGTATGTTCACCGCTTACCCTTACTTTGTATGTTCACCGCTTACCCTTACTTGTATGTTCACCGCTTACCCTTACTTTGTATGTTCACCGCTTACCCTTACTTGTATGTTCACCGCTTACCCTTACTTGTATGTGTGTCGCTTACCCTTACAGTAACTTGTAAGTAGTTCCCTAAAGTAGTAAAGTAGTTCCGTAAAGTCCACTGATGACTGCAGCAGAGTTAAACAGGGTCTGTAATTACACACCCTGTTTAACTCTAAACGCGTTTACTTGCATGGTAATGTCTCTGGCACTAATACTGCTTATAGTGCTAATTATACTTTTGTCTCCTCGAAAACTGTACGAAGAATTTGACGAGGTTATTTGCCATTTCTAAATCATCTTGATTTCTCCTGTCCATCTCCATGCCCCCTCTGCAGATCACTGACAAGGACTTCTCCAAGTTCAGCACCAGAGGAAGTTTTGGATCAGGAATTGGCGAGTTCAATTTCCCAGCTGGTGTTGTCCTAGTGAACCACAGCGCACTGGGCCAGTGCCTTGCTGTGACTGATACATGTAACCATCGGGTTCAGGTAATAACCAGACAGTACACACTGTACATGTACAGTTGTATTGTGTAAAATCCCTCTCCTACCCACTAACAGTGTACTGTGGTATACATAAAGATAGAACTAGCCTATATCACTGTTCAGCATCAAGTTGTGGGACTGTTTTCAATCATGTAACAGCAGGTCAAGCATATATTCTTAACACAGTACAATCCCAGTTGATAACTTTAGTGGAAGTCAATTGTGCCATAATTATGCATTGGCAAGCATGCATGTATGCGGGCTGGGAGGGGGGGGGAGGGGGAGTTGCATGTTTGATGGGTGTGTCAGCTAGTTCTGCTGGTGGGTGCTCTAAAGCCAGATTGTGACTGCGTGTGTTGCCATCTACTATACATGTATTACAGTATTACGTTCACTGGGGGGGGGGGGGGGGAGGTAAGTGCTGTTAAACCCTTTTCTGCACCATGCCCTAAACCACTCACACATGTGTGGTGAGCCTCTAAGTGGAATAATTTCCCCGAAGTCCATCCAGAGTAAGTCGATTTCAGTATAAGTTATCTTCCGTTGGATGGATCGATAGGCAATCCATCATCTCAAGATGCCTTTGAATCCCTTGCCCTTTAAGCTTTGGAAATGAGCATGTAAAAGGACAAGCGCATTGGTATGCAGGTCGGGGGCATTGGTGGGACGTGTGTGGGTGGAGCCGTTTGAGTGTGGGTGAGCGGGTCAATTTGGCTGGTGTTTGTGTGTGGGGGCTTGAGGGTGTGTACACGATTGTATGTGTGTGTGTGTGTGTGTGTGTGTGTGTGTGTGTGTGTGTGTGTGTGTGTGTGTGTGTGTGTGTGTGTCCCATATGGTGTAGTGGTATGTGCAGTGATTTCCAATCCATAGGTTGTGGGTTCGATTCCTGACGATTATGGTCACACACGTCTTTCTTCTCTTTCTCAGACCCCTTCTGATTTTCCTTTCATTCACCTGGGTGGTTACAAACAGTCAGTGCATGCCGGAGTATGCGGTGTGGTGAGTGTGCGAGAAAAAATGAAAAAAGACCAAAAGGTAGGGATTCACTGGCTAAAAAAGCCACTTCGTAGCTGTGTGGTGTAGACCAGGCTGAATAGTGGCGGTCAATTCTTCAGCCTTGCAAGCTGTTGAATGGTGCAATCCCAGCACAAGTTGCTATGGCTTCTGCTGTAGTATCGCTATCATCGCCTCCGGCGATGGGCGTCAAATGGTCAAATGAGGAGTTTGTGCTTGTGCACTCTGTGTATGTGCGGGCATGTGTATGTGTGTGTGTGTGTACGTGCGTGCGTGCGTGTGTATGTGTGTATGTGTGTATGTTTGTGTGTGTGTGTCGCATATGGTGCAGTGGTATGTGCAGTCGATTTCCAATCGGGAGGTTGCGGGTTCAATTCCCGATGATTATGGTCGCACCCGTCTTTCTTCTCTTTCTCATTCTCCTAGCTCTTCTTTCATTCTACTGGGTGGTTACGAACAGCCAGTATATGCCAGAGTATGTGGTGTGGCGTGTGTGTGTGTGTAAAAAGAAAAGAAAAATAGGGATTCACTGGCTAGAAGAAGCCACTTTAATCACCTGTGTGGTGGATACCAGGCTAATAATTAGTGGCGGTAAATTCATCCGACTTGCAAGCTGTTAAATGGTGTAATGCCAGCACAAGTTGCTATGACTAGCATAGCTGTTCGCTATCATCGCTATCATCGCTTCCGCGATGGGCATGTCTGAGGTCTGAGGTCTGAGGTGTGTGTGTGTATAGGTGTGTATGTGTGTATGTGTGTGTGTAGGGTGTGTGTATATGCAAGCTTTTGTATGTGTGTGTATGTGTGTGTATGTGTGTGTGTGTGTGTGTGTTCGCGTCCATGCGTGTGTGTGTGTATGTGCAAGCATAATTTTGTGTGTGTGTGTGTGTGTGTGTGTGTATATATAATAATTATGTGTGTGCGTGTGTGTGTGTGTGTGTATATGCAAGCTTTTGTATGTGTGTGTATGTGTGTGTGTGCGCATGCACGCGTGTGTGTGTGTATGTGCAAGCATAATTTTGTGTGTGTGTGTGCGTGTATATAATAATTATGTGTGTGCGGGTGTGTGTGTGTGTGTGTGTGTGTGAGTGTGTATGAGTTCGTGCGTGTGTGTGTGTGTGTATGTATGTATGAATATGCATGAGAGTTGCATTGGCATACTGGTACTTGACTACAGGTCTGTTTGTTAGAAAACTTCATAAAGTTCTATCACAGCCAAACCACCAAATCTAGTTGTAAGTTGTCTACTTCAGGTACTGATGTATTACATATCTTACAGGTTTACACACACTTGAGAGGAATCAAAAGCGTTTCAGCGGTAACTCTGAGTTTCACGGTTTTAATCGATCATCAGACAACAACTCACAGGTGTATATTCTTCTATGTACACTGGTACTGTACAGGTTGTGCCATGCAGTGGTGAGACAGGATATGCGTTTGGAACGAGAGGTAGTGGTCAAGGCCAATTTCAATTTCCAAGAGGCATCGCAGTGTACCACAACAGGTTGTTTGTTGCTGACGAGGACAACCATCGCATCCAGGTATGTTATCATGTTAATCTGGCAACAACGTCAACAATGATGCCGAATACGACAACAACCGCAATGACAACGACGGTAAAACGATGATGACGACAGAGACGACGGAGACAACAACAACAACAACAACAACAACAACAACAACAACAACAACAACGACAACAACAACAACAACAACAACAACAACAACAACAACAACAACAACAACAACAATAACAACAACAACAACAACAACAACAACAACAACAACAACAACAACAACAACAACAACAACAACAACAACAACAACAACAACAACAACAACAACAACAACAACAACAACAACAACAACAACAACAACAACAACAACAACAACGACGACAAAAACGACAATAACGACAACAGCGACAACAACGACAACAGCGACAACAACAACAACAACAACAACTACTACTACTACTAAAACTACAGTACCGGCAACTGAAATCCGACCCCTGGGCGGTGGGTTTACATTCTAGCGGTCTCTGTTTCGTAGTTTTACCATCCCGTGTAGGGTCTTTGCAATGTGAGCACTGTGAGCTCAGGGGGTCGGATTTCAGTTGCCTGCACTGTAGTACAGCAGCAGCAGCAGCAGCAGCAGCAGCAGCAGCAAGTTCAGCTTTATATTGTTGTGACAGGTCTTTGTAGGTGGTTGTTCCAAACTTTGATGCTTACACTTCATTCTGATTGACTTGACACTTGACTGACTCATGACTGCCGTCTAGAGCCCATGAGCAGCAAGTGGAATGTTTGACTCGGAAAATCTGCAAAAAAGCGCCACCCTCTGCTATATGCAGCGTTCCGGGGAATTCCCCCTAGGGTTCCCAGTAAAAAGGCAACGCCTGTTGAGAGTTCCCTTGTTAAATAATAAATTCTACTACTACTACACCCTGTATCAGCTGAGCTTCAGAACGTTACGGTAATCTGTGCTCTGAGAGCTCTGCAACATGTGTTGCTCTCTGGCAAGAGCCGAGATCCAAAGTTTGGAGTAGCCACCTTCTTCAATTATATCCACTGAAATTGCAACATCTACATGTAGATCTGGAATTATATTGTTTCTTTTTTTCATGTCTAGTGTGCATGAGACTTTACTGGTATTGACAACCCATCTATCGGAATATACACTGGACAGGGTCGGGTAGGAAATTTTTCATGTAATCAGAAATGAATGTGTACGTCATGCAAGTGCTTGATGGCCATGTTCGCCTGTTACTTGTCCTTTTCAGTGTCAGAGTGTATAGGCTGATGTGAAGTTAGACTCTTAAACATCATGTCTATACATCATGTCACAAACCAAACAGTGTCTGTGCTACAATAAATACATACATAGTAGTCAAATGTTGGTGCCAGGTCCATGTTTTACCTCAGGTTTTGAGTTTTTACAGTTGCACACCAGTAACCTTATCATCACTACAGTCATAATGATAGTAGCTTTGCACTGTGTGTTGGAGTATTATTCTTACACTCCTGTTATATCTATACTCTTGCTGTCACCACAGTGGTGTGTGTGAATGTTCAATTTATTTATTCCTGCAAAAGGTGATGACCGTCGATGGAGAGTATATCACTTCGTTCGGGTCAAAGGGCAGCTCTTTTGGTCAGCTGCAGAGCCCGTATGTTGTCACTACAGATGCCTACGGGAATGTACTAGTCGCAGATCGTGGCAATGGACGTGTTATGGTAAGGAAGAGCTTGTTGTCGTGTTCTTCTTTCTAAATACCTACAGGCAGAGAGTAGTACCCAGTACATATACAACAGTGGAGCATGGTCAGTTTGTTGCTAGTCTGTGATTCATGGTCAGTACAATCATCAGACAACACTGATATGAACACAGAAAGTGATGTACACTGCATGCACAGAGTACAAGTAAAGCAAGAGTACATTAGCTCTTACAGTTCAAAAAACAAGGGTACATTCTACTCTTACACTACTTTCTTGTATAAAAGTGTGTCTCACATGTAAGCTTGCAATGAATACTAGTACTAGCATGATTTCCAAAAATGGTACCTCTGGCACATATGCTTTAGGGTTTACCTAGTGTCCATGCATACTCAGACTGTGTGGAGTGCTGAATGTCTGGAGAACAGAACAAGGAATACAGTGGACACACATCAATGCTACAACCAAGTCTTGGATGTACTGTAGCTGTGTTCTTACTGTATGCTTGGCTTGCATGTTGACATTTAGAGAAATACCTAATATAATATACGTGCCATGTTGTGGTGGATTCTGTTTACGCCGATGGAAAAGGACGTTGTTTGAGGTAACGTTACTGAATCCCTGACCGAAATTGTCTCCATGTTGCTGGTTTGACGCATATTCATCTTTCAATGAATGTAAACATACTTCAGAAGTAGCAAAGTGGTTTACACACCTAGCAGTAATACATCCAAAGAGAATCCGGTGTGCCTTATACTACGATGATCAAATCAACAGTAGTAAATGAGAAAGATGTTTCTATTTGGTGCCAAACAATTCAAATTGTTCAGATAGGGCTTTTTATTCCAGTGCGGCTAATACTCCAGTGCGGCTTATACTCTAGTGTGGCCTCTACTCCAGTGTGGCTTATGCTCCAGTGCGAAGTATACTCCAGTGTGGCTTATACTCCAGTGTGGCTTGTACTCCATTGTGGCTTATACTCCATTGTGGCTTATACTCCAGTGTGGCTTGTACTCCTCTGTGGATTATACCCCAGTGTGGCTTATACTCCAGTGTGGCTTATATTCCAGTGTGGCTTAACCATGCTAACTCATACCTTCCATGATACCATCATCCATACATGAATTGCGCATCATTCATGGACCCGCCATACATCATCCATATACTGTATAGCAGGAAAGTTTCAGACGGAATTCATTTTCGTACGATTTCGTACACGGCTTCTTTTGTACTAAAATTAATTCCGCACTAAAGTTTGTTCCTGTGAAGTTATGTACACTATACATTGTGAACACGTGCATTTAGCATGCAGCACTGTACGAAAATAAAATCCGTTCGAAAGGAAAGGTCGAAATTCAGCTTTGTCCGAAAATATTTCCGTCCGAAAATTTTCTGCTATACAGTAACATTCATACATCATCCATACATCAACCATACATCATCCATACATCATCCATGCATCAACAATCTATAATACGTGTTATTCCTGTACGCTCACCAGTGGTGTCCATGTTCTCTGCAGGTATACGCCGCAGAAACACACACACCGCTGGCTGAGTTTGGAAAAGGAGAGCTGGCCCGGCCGACGGGTGTCTGCGTGACAAGTGAGGGCTTAGTAGCTGTTTCCTGTTATGGAAACCACAAGATTTTTGTGTTTTGAAGATTTCTTGTTAGACACCTGTCATCAGTCACCTGCTCACACTTTTGTATGCATCATAACATAAATGACCATAGCGTGACACAAACTGTTCTTGTATCCGATCCTACTCCCCTCCCCTCCCCCCCCCCCCCCCTCCCCCCACCCCCAACACACGCACACACATAACCACAACCCCTTAGTTGTACATCCTTGATAATTTTCAGTTGTCTTTTCTTCACTTCTCGGGGAGAATTTGGTTTTCCTCCACTCATCCGCCGCCTTGGTTGGTGACGTGTTCTATCTTACAGCACTCTCACATGAACTGAACACATCCCACGCATGTTATACCACAGTACTTCGATTTCTTTACTGGATTAGGTAGATGCCGCAACAGTTATTCCACTCCAGTTATTCTTAGGTAGCTTCTGGTTCCCGGTGTTTATTCACCCGGTTATCTCAGAAAAGAACGTTTGCAATTGCTAGAATACAAATCTGTCCAGTGGTGGATATTTTTTTGCATTGGTCCCTTCTTCTTCATTTTAATCCTTGGCTCTCCATCTGAGTTCATTATGCATTATTATGTAGGCTGTAATAGTTCTGAATTTTTCTAATTTTACTTATTGGATTGTTTTCTCGCAGATTAATCATATGATTAGGATATCTATGCAACAGTTAGTTTGAATTGTTCACATCGACATCACGTTTTCCTTGTACTGATTCTGTCCACTTACGTGGTTGGTGCACATGGTACATGGTGCTTGTGTGTGTGTGTGTGTGTGTGCGTGCGCGTGTGCGCGTGCGCGCGTGTGCACGCAGGCGTGCGTGCACGCGCATGCACCCCCGTCCGCGTGCGTGTATGTGCATGTGTGTGTGCATGTGTGTGTGTGTGTGTGCGCGTGTGTGTGTGTGTTTGTGTGTGTGTGTGTCTACAAAAACTCACTTCATACCTGTGTGGTGTGGACCATTACTAAGGCTGAATAGTTGCGGTCAATTCTTTAGCCTTGCAAGCTGTTGAATGGTGCAACCCCCGCATAAGCTGCTATGGCTTCTGCCGTAGCACCGCTACCATCGCCTCCAGCGATGGGCGTCGAAAGGTCAAAGGTGTTTGTGCGTGTGTGTGTGTGTGTGTGTGTGTGTGTGTGTGTGTGTGTGTGTGTGTGTATGTGTGTGTGTGTATGTGTGTTAATGCTGTTTAAAATAACGTGCAAGGTACAAGTGTTTGTAATGTTTTCTTCCATTAATGCAGTATCCTGTGTATAGCGGTGACCTCATAACGTGAACAGCATCCATACTGTATAGATAGTACTGTTTTGACCATAGCAAATTCAACTCCTGATATAACCAACACCATTGTACAGGAGAATTACTTCTCTATAGGCCAGGTTCTTTATAACCGAAATGCACTCACACCATACAAGCAACACGACATGTAGCTCATGACAATATGATTGGTTTAATATGTGAGACATTGCACTACCGGACGGGCAATGTACAGTTGACAACTTGTGGCAAGTGAAATCCGACAGTGCCAAAGGGGACAGCGCCTCAAATGGACATCAATGATGTAATGGACTGCACCTAATTTGTACTATAGAGCCGTATGCATCCCAAACAGGTCGAAAGGTCACAGTGTAGATACACACACAGTTCACAAACATGGGACACATAAGGAGTATTGGTATCCATTTCCCATTCATTTTTGCCAGCACCTTTTGAACCTTGACTGTGATGAGTACGAATTCTGTCATCAGACAGATAAAGTTGTATGCAGCGCTAGCACATGTACTGTACGTATGCAGGGCTGCAGAGGCTTTGTATTGTATTTATTTAAAAGGATTCTCCAAAAGCAAATGGATGCTTATCACGGGAGTCTCCCACATAAATATCGCAAGAAAAATGGGGAAATGGGGGAGAGGAGAGTGGAAGATGAAGCATGGGAAGAAGCTGCAGGATGCACGGTGCAGTCCCTTATGCCAAGTGTCGGATTTCACTTGCCACAACTGTAGTTAGCATGGCGCCCCACAAGATGAAGAGATATGGTGGTTCCTTATCAACGAAAATTATTTGATCTACTGTAAGGGATCTTTTGTTTGTATGAGTCTAAACAGGGACATGGACTCTGATTGGCTATGAGTATGATCACGAAATTCCCTACGTGCGGGTGCGCTACAAGTGGAGTCGATTGCATTCTGACATATTCCGTGTGGTGTACACCTTGTGTGTATTGGGGATGGATTCTCAAAGCTGCGCCTTTCATGTGGATTGGGCGGGACAGGGTTATGTATTGCTCATATCACCCAGAGCCCAATCGGCAGGGCCTGTAACAGATTCACTGTTACTACTAACACTAGGAATAGGATACACTTATCACCTGCTATTATCACGCTGCTGCTGTTAGGTGTTATGTCCATCATTGCTTGTTCATGTATATAAGAATGCATTATGGCAAGGATCATTGCTTATTCCAAGAATGACTACTGAAGTTAGTTGGACTGTTACACTGGTAGCAAGAGGATGGTTTTTCTTTTCGTCATGTTCGGGCTATGCGCAGTGGCCGCATTAGTCGCCTACGGTATATTCGAGATTCAGAAGCGTCTGAATCACCTTATCGCACTCGGTCAGTGCGATGGATCAGATCAAACGCCAAGACGTGCTCAAGCTCCCAGCGGAGAGAGGCCACGCATGCGCCATGTTAAGTCTCCGCCTGTGTTTCGTGGAGATACAAGAGAGTTCAAGGAGTGGGCCTTCGCCATCGAACTCGCCATGAAGTCCCTGCAGCTGGACAACGCGGAGGAGCGCTTGAGCTACGCGGCGAGTTTTCTGGAGGGCAACGCTCGTCTTTGGTTTATCGCCTCTCAGGAGGCAAACACGCTGTTTTCCGACTGGCCAGACCTGAAGAGCAAGCTGGGAGAAGTGTACGGCCCGGTTTATGACAGGGAACAGGCGCGCATCGACTTATTCGCTCTTCACCAAGATGAGACTCTTGACGAATACATCAACAAATTTTCGCGGCTTAGCTTACAAGTTCCCGAGCTTGATGACCACTCCAGAGCTATCTTGTTCACGCGTGGGCTGGCTCAGGGCCTAAGCGGTGAGGTACTTAGGGAGCATCCGCAACATTTGGCCCAAGCCATACGAGCTGCGGTCTCAGCAGACCAGTCGATGCGGCTAGCCCAAGCAAGCTACGCCAAGGCAGTGCGTGCACCAGGGCATCAGAGGCGCCAGCCTGGACCCTGGTCAAGCCAACCAACACCATCCGGTGGGAGAGAAACCAGGGAGCCAGAGGGTCGTTCAAGGCTGTGTTTCACCTGCAGGAAACCCGGCCATATTGCCAGATTCTGTCCAGAAGGAGGGAGGAACGCCACAAGCAAGCCTTCTTTAAACGATGGACGCCAGTAAGGAAGGGAGTGCGACTACTGGCGAACACGAGAGCACCCAGGAATAGGCCACGAATCAAAGTTCAGAACAAATTCAGCCCCTTAGCAAATGAGGAACCACGCCTCGAGGAGACCGAAATTCAAGCCTCGCCTGTCAAGCATTCGTCACCTGATACTGTTGGCCGGCCTAATGAAGTAACCGCCAGCACAGGGAGCATTTCCGCCGACAACGAACACGACCTGGCAAGATAAATGGACGTCGCGTTACCATGCTACTGGATTCTGGGTCAACCCACGACTTCATTTCAACTGACCTTGTCAAGAAGCACAACATCTCCACAACAACCAGTAGCGACGTCCTGAACGTCACACTTGCTGATGGATCGGTCCGCTCACAGCCTATTACGAAAACGGACAGCTTGAAGACCGTAGTCGGCGACTTTAGCGAGCACCAACAGTTCCTAGTATTCCCTATGACGCGGTATGACGTGATCCTCGGCAAACCATGGCTGACCCGGACGAACCCACAGATCAATTTTCGTACCAATGAAATCAAGCTGGAGGGTGGATCCATCATCTGTCAACCGAGTGAAAGTGATGGCACGGACAAATCCAACCCACTGATCGAGACGTTCCTCATCTCAGGGAAGCAGGCTAGGCATGCAATGAGAGGTGGCGCAGAAGGAATCCTAGCGTATGTGACAGCAGATCCGGACGAGCCACAGACGGTGGATAGTCCGGGTAGGGAGGATCAGAAGGATTTCAAGGACCTGCTGAAGGAGTTCGGGGACGTCTTTCCCGATGAGCTTCCAAACAAGCTGCCACCCAGAAGAGGCGCAGATCACGAGATAAAAACGGAAGAAGGAGCTAAACCGCCATCTCGTGCAGCATATCGTCTACCAAAACCAGAGATGGATGAGCTTCAAGCTCAGCTCACCGAGCTGCTCCGTAGAGGATTCATCCAGCCCAGCAAATCCCCATACGGAGCCCCTGTGTTCTTCGTAAAGAAAGCGGATGGAACACTTCGAATGGTATGCGACTGGCGTGAGCTAAACCGCATAACCATTAAGAACAAGGCATGCCTACCGAATATTGACGACCTCTTTGATACCGTCCAAGGCAGTGCGTATTTCACCAAGCTAGATCTGAGGTCCGGTTACAATCAGATTCGAATAAAAGAAACAGATTTTCCGAAGACAGCAATAAATACCCCATTCGGTCACTTTCAGTTCACAGTGATGGGTTTCGGCCTAACAAATGCCCCGGCAACATTCCAAACCTTGATGAACAGTGTCCTCCAGCCATACCTGCGTAAATTCGTTGTGGTGTTTCTAGACGATATCCTCATATTCAGCAAATCATGGGAAGAGCACCTCGATCATGTCAGAACCATCTTAAACGCCCTCAGGAGGAATGAGCTATAGTGCAGCATATCGTCTACCAAAACCAGAGATGGATGAGCTTCAAGCTCAGCTCATCGAGCTGCTCCGTAGAGGATTCATCCAGCCCAGCAAATCCCCATACGGAGCCCCTGTGTTCTTCGTAAAGAAAGCGGATGGAACACTTCGAATGGTATGCGACTGGCGTGAGCTAAACCGCATAACCATTAAGAACAAGGCATGCCTACCGAATATTGACGACCTCTTTGATACCGTCCAAGGCAGTGCGTATTTCACCAAGCTAGATCTGAGGTCCGGTTACAATCAGATTCGAATAGAAGAAACAGATATTCCGAAGACAGCAATAAATACCCCATTCGGTCACTTTCAGTTCACAGTGATGGGTTTCGGCCTAACAAATGCCCCGGCAACATTCCAAACCTTGATGAACAGTGTCCTCCAGCCATACCTGCGTAAATTCGTTGTGGTGTTTCTAGACGATATCATCATATTCAGCAAATCATGGGAAGAGCACCTCGATCATGTCAGAACCATCTTAAACGCCCTCAGGAGGAATGAGCTATATTGCAAACCGTCTAAATGTGAATTCGGCCGGACAGACGTTCTGTTTCTTGGGCACCGGATAGACGGCCAATGCATTTCTCCAGATCCAGAGAAGATCAAGGCCGTGCATAACTGGCCTATCCCGACGACGGTCACGCACGTAAGACAGTTTCTTGGATTCGCTAATTACTTTCGAAGGTTCATTAACCATTTCTCGGCCATCTCCAAACCCCTGGAGGAACTGACAGGGAAACATGTGCGCTTCGAGTGGAATCAGACTCGACAGGAGGCATTTGAGCGATTGAAGTCTGCTCTGCTGGATGCACCAGTGTTGCGACTAGCAAACGTCAGTCAGGATTTCCGCGTTGAGACTGACGCAAGTGACTTTGCTGTGGCA